GGGGGTCAATTCCCTAGCCCCAATGCCCCACAACTAACCCTTACTCAAAAGGAAAAGAAACGGTCAACTCCCAAGTGCATCTGGACTCAATTTTGGCTCTGGATGCACCTAAAACATGTGTTTCTCCTCCTCTATGTAATCCGTTTTATTTCGGTTGCATGGGGCCTTGATTTTCTTTGATTTTCTCTGCAAAAATCAAAGAAAATCAAAGTCCATTGCAACCGCCATATTCTAGAATGAATCTGGTCATGGATGTATCTCCCCAAGTGGTCGTTTTTTACCGTTAAGGTCTTTTTCTCTTTTCTTTTCTTTTCTCTTTTCTTTTTTTTTCTTTTTCCTCCTTTCTTGGACAGTAGGGACCTGCCACTACCTACTTGTGGCAGTCCCTACTGACGACCAACTCACTCACTCCCTCTCACCCTTTTTGTCTTATTCTCCCACATTTTTTTTTCTTTTCTCTCTTTTTTCTAGCATGCCAAATGTAAAGCGGTTCTAAGACCCTTTTCTAGCCCCTTTCTCTTAGCTTTGGCCCTTCCTATGCCCAATGTGCAGTCCGTTATATCTCGGACTGCAATAATGGTCTTCTCATGCTCATGGGAGCTTTCTTTTACTCCTATTTTTCTCCCACAATGACCCCTCCTACTCCGATTTTCTCCCGGAAGCCTATTTTTCACATGGGGTCTCTTTTGACTCTATTTTCTTGAGGGAGGCTGATCCGAGATTTTTCGGATTGCTCCCATCTTCAAGTTTCTTTACTTTTTCTTTTCTTTTCGACCTTCCTGTTTGCTACCGCTAGTGCTCGCACTAGTGGTGCTAATATTCTTGGCCGTCAAGATCTCGATCTTGACGGTGCACCTTGCCTTTATTATTTTCCCTCATGCGGTGCCGCCGTTTCTTCCTGGGACTTCCACATGTCCCCGTCATTCCTCCCGTCGGTGGTCCGGGACACTTAGTCCCGCCGGCGATCCCCGACACTTGGTCCCGTCGGTGGTCCCCGACACTTAGTCCCGTCGGCGGTCCCCGACCCATTTTGTCCCGGATGCCATTATTTTTACTTAGTCCCACGTGGCCCCGGATGCCTTTCCCCAATGTGTCCCACGTTCCTTGGGCGTTTTCCACATCACGGTGACCCCTCTCCCTTGTCTTTTCTTGCGCCTTGCGCGCGCCGATTCCTTTGGTCGTGGGTCTCCACCCCGAGGCTCCCGTAGGTGGCCCCCACGTTGGCCCGTCATTCTTTAGCTTCCCACGGCCCCGGGGCCATCCATCTCTCGACCTCCTCATCATTTTGTCGCTATCGTGCCGCGTTTGCTGGTTCAAGGGCCCTTTGGTCGTAGTCTTGTTGAATTCCAACGGCCCTCCCGGCCTTATACTATGTTCTATGTGCCCCTGTTCTTGCGCTCACTCGCTTGTCGTTGCTAGTTCTCAACTCCTGTGGTTCTCACCCCAGGGCATTACTCCCTCCTGCGGCCTAATCCTTTATCTTTTTTCTCTCTCTCCTCCTTACTCCAGATTTCACTGTCGTGCACAATTTGTATATATTCAGTCTCTCGAGTGATGGGAAGTTATTCGGGACCCACCAGTCCTTACACATTCCCCCCACTCATTCGCGATGTCCTCATCGCGCACCAATCTCTTGTCAGTGGGTTTTGGAGAGATAGACGGGAGAGGAGGACGAAATGTCATGGGTGGTTAGTTTGTCAGGGTCCGTTTTGTTTTTTCTTGTTCTTTTCTCGGGTTTCCTCTAGTTTTCGTCCTTGGAGCGGGGAGAGGTGTGTAGGGTTAAGCTTTCTTTGTCCTTCAGGCTTCTCATGTCTAATTCATCACTCTTAGAACACCAGGTCTCTTTCGTCTCATTCATCAGTCTTAGAACATCAAACCCCCTTTCGTCTCATTCATCACTCTTAGAACATCAGACTTTTTTCGTCTCACTCATTTTTTGAAGTACATCAAACTTCCTTTCAACTTTCCTTTTCTCGCTGCCCCCTATTTTTCCCCCGAGCCTTGTCATCCCAAGCGCCCTTTGGCTGATCCTTCTTCCATCCAGTGTCAGCCAGGTCCCTTTCCCGGCCTTTGTCACCCTTAATGCCCTTTCTACTCGACTCTTCAGTCCGTGCAACCCATGTCTCCCGCCATCCTTTCCTCAATCTCATGCTCAGCCAAATTCACATGTATTTTTTTCGGTTCCTTTTGCTCGACTTTTCTCTGGCCCTACTAATTTCACGTGCCTGTCACCCTCATTCGACATTTCTTGCACCCAAGCTCAATTAATTTCACATGCGCGTTACTTGGTCCATTTTATACGCATCTTTATTCTGGACATCTTGCCAGGCCTTTCTCAAGCTCATGCAAAGTCAATTACACATATCTCTTTCTTCTGGACATCTTGCTAGATCTTTCTCATGCTCATGCAAAGTCACTACTCATTCATTTCCCTTCTGGACATCTTGCCAGACCTTTTTTCAAGCCCATGCAAAAGTCAATTACTCATCCATTTTTCTTCTGGACATCTTGCCAGACCTTTTCTCAAGCCTGCGCAAAGTCAATTACACAAGCATTTTTTCTTCTGGACATCTTGCCAGGCTTTTTCTCAAGCCTGCGCAAAGTCAATTACACAATTTTTTCTTCTGGACATCTTGCTAGACCTTCTCTCAAGCCTGCGCAAAGTCAATTTCACAAGCATTTATCTTCTGGACATCTTGCCAGACCTTTCCCTTAAGCCTGCGCAAAGTCAATTACACAATTTTCTCTTCTGGACATCTTGTCAGCCCTTTCTCAAGCACACGCAAAGTCAATTACTCAATCACGCTTTTTCATCGGTAGATGGCACACCTTCCCCCTACTCAAAATGCGATGTCCCATCGCACGACTGGTTCGCACTCGGAGATACGCAGACCTTGGCCCACCGACTGAGTCAAGAACGACGGCCCACCTGCTCCTAGAAGGAAGGGTGATCAGTCCTTCCTTGGCAGGTAACACCTCATTCTTCTACTTAGTCCGACCTTTTGTCGTTACGAGACGGGCGTTATTGCTGAGGTACCACTTCACATCCGGCAGGTAGGTCCAATCCAAACCTCCCAGGACCCCGTCTTGTCGTAAAGGCTTTCTCGCGAATCGGTCCTCCCGAGTGGTGTTTTCTTGGATCCGGCCTCTTCCTTTCAAGAGAGTTGGGGCTCTCAATTAGTTTGCGAGTGCAGTTACGAAGACCTCGCGGTTAGTCCCGGAACGGTTGTAATGATCCGGCACGGCGGTGTCACTCGCCCTGTGGTGATTGTGACTTCCACTTGGTACCACGCCCGACCCCTCCCTCAAACAATGCCGCTTAACTTAATGCGAGCAACCTTGGTCCACCCCAAACGGCCACGCCGCCCCTCTACGGCATGGCTTGTGGTTGGGGAGAGTAAATGAAACTTAGGAAAAGAATGGCTCTCTCGCCCGTTTGGCTCCACGCCCTTGACGTTTAGGTTCTCAACATGAGGCGCAGTTCGAACTCCCCGACTAGAGCTCGTTGTCGGGATTAGTTCCGGACGGCCCGCATCAATCAAAGAGAACGATGCCTTGGTCCTTCAACCCTTATCTTTCCTTATGAGGAATAGGTCGCGCTGAGACTTTTCCCTTGACGGGTAGAGCTCCTGGGGTCGCGGTGCATGCATCGCTATCCCCCTCATGTTGAGACCTGAGACTAGGAAAAAAGAAAAACTCAATCTCTTGCTATTTCCATTGTCGGCCCGACGACCTTTCATCAAATTGCCTAGGGTCCCCTGACTTATGCAATGCAATATCCAATCCTCAATTACTCAATCCAATGCCATTTCCAATCCTTTCCTACAACTGATTCTCATGGCTGGTCCGACAGCCTCTCATTAAGGCCACCCCACGTGACCGATCTGGTTGTCGCTCTTTCAATAGCCATTTCTCATGACCGACCCTTCGGCCCACCTTCAATCCTCAACTTTCACATTCCTCAATATCCAATCCTTATGACCGTCCCAACGGTCTATGCCCTTCTCATCTTAAGTCTCGGCCTTCTTTATCCTTCCCTTCTCTTTTCAACGCATCATTCTCTTTCATCCATCCGCATGGCTATTTCAATGACCGATCCGCCGACCTTTCCCATTTCACACTGCTCATTCTAGCTCATTCTCAATCAGCCTTTCTCAATCAATTATGCAGGGGACCTCAATGCCTATGTCAAAAGAAATGACCCTTGTCAGGGACCACTTCCGAACAACCTGGTTAGGGTCGTTCTTTTCCATTCTCAAATCGAACAGCCTGGTTAGGGCCATTCCTTTCCATTCTCAAGTCGAACAGCCTGGTTAGGGCCATTCCTTTCCATTCTCAAGTCGAATAGCCTGGTTAGGGTCATTCCTTTCCATTCTTAAGTCGAACAACCTGGTTAGGGCCATTTTTTTCCATTCTCAATGTTAGCGCCCGAGGGGGTGGGCCTCAAGGACACGGATCCCATTTTTGTCTCGGAGGTTAGAAGGTGGTCATCTCTTGTGAGTTTTCTGCATGCGGTGTCCTTCATCCATTCTCAAGGCAATTTACTATCCATGCCTACATCCGACTTAGCGTCTAGTGCTCAAATTGAGGCTCACAACCTCAAGTAGCACTAACCCACCCGACCATTCAACCATAGCAGAAAACCGGGGCACCCCCTCTATTTTCACTTTTTCTGATCACCCAGATCTTGACTATTTTCAAACTCATTCATGACTCAGTTGGATTAGGCTCCTAGGGAAGGAGTGTTCTTCATGCCCCTTAACCCATAGGTTCCCTAAGCTGTCTTGTACTTAACATTCACGTCTTGCTTTGCTCGTCACTCTGTACTAACAATTTTTCTTCTCAAAGGCACACTCCTCATTCCTTCCAAAGTTCACAATACACCCTTCCCAACTAGTCCCATTCCATGCCCTGTGCCATTGTCTTGTCTACACACTTTCAAAGGTAGCTCATCCAGAAAGTAGCCTCAAAATGCTATCTTCTAACCCATCGTGACCCAGTCTTAGCTAGTCCTTTTATCCCGCATTCCTCACAAGCTTACTCATACTATACAAACCCTGTCATTCCATATTTGCAAAAGAGGAAATCACAATTTCTTGTCCAACACTTAACATCTAACCCCTATTGCTATCATGTGCCTCAACTCGCTTGGTTTCTTGCTCGTCCTGTCTTTCTGCAGGCTTCTTAACCCCTAGGCCGGAGACCATGATTTCTCTCCTCCTTCTCGCAATCTCTCACAACTCCATCTGACTGTAAAATCCAAAGGTGTGGCTACCATCCCTGCCTTCACGAGTTCCCGAGTCTTGATAATCCACTCGTGTTTGATCACACTGAGCCATTGTTGAAACCAATGGTTGGGCGTTGGCCCAAACTCATCCTCCCATCTGAAGGCCCCTTTGCGCGCCTGGTGTATCGGGGGCCACCTCTCTTCTCTAGACTTCGAGATTTCATCCTTCTCATCCCCACTGCTGATCTCTATGACCTCCTGTACTTCCTCCTCCTCATCCTCGTCTTCTTCCGTCTGTATGGGGCTGTATCCACCCATCAAGTTCTTTGGATCGTAGCTATAGGGAATCTTTGCCCTCCCTCCATATCCTTCTTCAAAGTCCGGATACCTCCCCTCACAATTGTCGTGGCCGCTCCGCTCTTCATGCGGGCTTTCCCTTCTTTCTTCCCCGTCCTTGTGTCTGTCGCATATGTCTTGTTTCCCCTCGCTCTCCCGATGCCAAGATTCACGTTGCTCGCATCTCTCGGCCCCTTCCTCGTCAGAGGCCTGAGCCTTGTCTCCCATATCCGCTTTGCCCCCTTCTCCCACACTTACCCTTTCCTCCTCGCTCTCACTTCCAGATGATATATATATACCTACTCCCTTCCGGAGGGGCGAAGGTCCTCTACACACGCGCTTTCTCACACCCCTGCCCACCACTTGCTTGGACATGAACCCTATGCCCAATTTTCTCTTGGCAGTCCTTCGTTCTCGACTTGGCCCCGCTCCTCCCTCTTCTGTAGGTCTGTTGACTGCCCCACTATCATTCTCGTTGCCGAATTCCATTTTGCTTTTCTTGTGTTTTTCTCCTTGGTCCTGTATAACAAAACAACGCCCGCCAAGCCGCTCATACACACGTCCCCCTTGTCCGGTAGGCAATTCCCCTTTCCCTAGAATGCTCTCAGTACCCTTCGCACCATGCCACTATCATACATTCCCTTCTCATGCAAATGCCCCATTTGTGATGATCCCATTATTTCCCCATCAAAAGCTATGATACAATGCTCCCGACAATCTTCTCACATCGTCACACAAAACCCGTTATCACAAGATCCCAAGACATCCCACCTTCCTACTTCAGTCAGTCCAAACCATTGCCCCAACCCAAAAAGATGACAGTCCCACAGACGCAGTCAGAGACAAAAACCATAGTGTGGTCAAGGCTGTTGTCAGTCCTTAGCTTGCAGCCCCTCAGTTTCCTTATCCTCGGCCTCCTGAAGCCATTGTTCTACAGGGTCCCGACTTAGAAACCTGACCAATCGCTGTCCTTGAAAGGGTCCTTTTAATCCAGTTCCATCCAAATCTTCCAACTCGAAGGTGTTCAGTCCCACCCGCTGGCGACCCGGTAGGGACCTTTGAACCTCCTTCCCAGTTGCCCAGACCAAGTACTTTCTAGTGTCGAGTTCCTTAGCAATACTGTCTCCCCGACCTGAAGTGGCTCCTTTCCGACATTCTTAACCCGGTCCCACCTTGCTTTGTCCCTCATTCTGCTGTCTAGTACCCGGTTGGCGATGTCTTCCATGACCTCCTCGTTCCTAAGAACTCGTTGACATCTTGCCTCAATCAATTCTTCCGTGGTTATATGCGGATCGTGATCTAACTTGTTCCAGGTTGGTATCAAGGCTTCTACGGGAAAATTGGTCTCCCTTCCGTACCAAAGTTCCACTGGGATACATCTCGCCGTCCTCTTAGGTGTCATGTTCTCTGAGAAGATAGCGTACTTAAGGTACCTAGGCCAGCTCCCCAGATTGTCCGCCGCGAGCTTCGCAACCGTGTTCTTTAAGGTCCGGTGCCCTCTTTCCACAGGTGCATTGGCCTCCGGATGATATGGCTCGATGAGCTTGATTGGTACGCAGAGCCTCTTAAGCATTCCCAACGCTTCTTGGTTCACAAATTTTGTCCCATTAACTGCTATAAACCTCTTGATGAAGGGATGCCTCAAGTAGAAGTCTTCTATCCAATCCGCTACACTTCTCCCTGTCTTTTTCTTGAGAGCGACCGCGTTTACGAACCCACTCAAGTCGTCTCGCGCATCCAGGATATACTTGTACCCATATGCTAATACAGGCATATGACCGCAAGGTCAAGGTGGACCAGATGTTCCGGCCCCAGCACCCGCGTTGGTCTAAGCGGCTCGAAGACGCGTGCCGAGCTCCGTTCTTGGAAGATCAGGCAGGTCTGGCAGTACGTGGCGACCATACCTGCCATGCCTGGCCAATAATAGAGCGGCGCTATCTATGCAAGAGTTCCTTTGGACGATCAATGTCCTCCCGCTAGTCCGTCGTGCATTGCCAGGATCACGTCCAACTGTCTAGATCTCCCGCACACAACTCTTCAAGGCATGACACCTTCCTCCCTTCTGAACAGGTGACCACCCCTTAGGACGTATCTTTCGGCCTCCTCCCTTGCTTTAATGCTGACTTCCTTGGGTTGTTTGTTTCCTACCAACAACAACCCAATCTCTCGAAAAATTCCTTCGTATACCTGAACATAGAAAAACTCCTTCCCTTCCTGGTCCTCGTTCTTTCTCTCCTGCATCTGGTTTACCATCCACTGCAACTCTTTCTTTTCCCAAGATTCTACTAGGCTCATTACGACTTCCCGACCTCCCTCAACCGCCATTGCTATTAGTTCCTCCTTCGGTCCTACTATCGCTACCCACGAGTTTTTCTCCTTTTTGCGACCTTGAGTGGTGATTGGTCCTTCCCTAAGTTCTGCTACTACGGCAGGTGCCCCCTTCTCCAAGGTCCGGATCAACAGTTCTCTTGACGCGCATTCCTCCCCCATCATCTCGTTATCAACCGCAAGAGTTCCTCCTTCGTATTCCATAAATGCGTCCATGGGCTCCGCATCCTCCACCCCTTCGGGAGTGATGCAGACCTGACTCAGCCCATCGGCCTTGTTTCTTATTTCAGCAATCCGTTCGATCTTATATTTGAACTGCCAGATAAATTCTACCCATCTCCCCACCATCGGATCTAAAGGCCTGTAATTCTTTAAGGCCCCAACAACATTCGTCGGATCGATCCTAAGGATGAACCGCCTCCCAAATAGGTAGGCCTGGAAGGTCTTGAGGCAATGCAAGATGGCTAACACCTCCTTCTTGAACTGTGAGTACCGCCGTTCTGCGAAGTTCAGGGTTCTACTTTCGAACCTGATTGACCTCTCTTTTCCTTCCTCATCCCTTTGCATCAGTACGCCTCCTACGGCCAAGGGTCCTCCATCCGTTTCTAGGATGAATGGTCGTCCCACTTCGTCATTAAAACAGGGTGCTGACAAGGCGACTTGCTCCGATGTTAGTATGTCCTTGGCTCCTTCTTGCTCCTCCGTCCAGTCCAGGGTCCCTTCTTCTCTAATCATGGCCCGGATAGGCTCAGCAATCTTGGCAAAACTTTTAATGAAAATCCTTCAAAAGCCGACCACGCCTAAGAATGCTCTTACCTCCGTTGTCGTGCGCAGGGGTGTTGGCCACTGGGATATCTTGTCTGTCTTCGCCGGATCTGGCTTCCTACCGTATGCGCCACAACGAAATCCTAGTATGGTTACTTCCGGTACTGCTAGAATACTCTTTGGTCCGCTAGCCGTGATGTTAGATACTAGGAACCGGCGGAGTAAGTCCTTGATGTCCTGTAGATGGTCCCATACAAATCTTCGGATTCCTGGTTGGACTTCCGTCTCGTCCTTCTCTTGAGCGCTTTTGATCGGGTTGTCATCGATGTAAGGTTCACACTTCTCCGGAAATATGTCTCCGGCTACGGCGAGCATTCTCCTTTGCGCTTCGGCTACCGTATTCGTAAAGCCCATAGGGGTCACCTGCATCTGCAATTGGCCTACGGGGGTGTGCATTGCGGTGTACGGCCTATCCCGCGCATGCAATGGTAGTCCGTCGTACCCTGAGTACAAATATATCAGGGAGTAAATGCTCTAGCCGGCGTGAGACTCGGCTAATAAATCGACCTGAGATAGTGAACCAGCATCCCGAATGGTTACCACATTCAACTTCTGCAGATCTTGAATCCATCTTAGCGTCTTGTTGGGTTTCCTGAAGACGAACCACCGGTTCGCGTAAGGCAACGCTGTAGGTTCTGCAACGAAGGAGTCCATCTTTGCTCGAAAAAGTTCTGTCACTTCCCCTGCTATCCCAAATTCATAGGACGACCCTTGGTCATTCCAACACTCATGCTCTACCGTGTGGATTCCGACCGGGGGAATTAGCTTCGCGTCTAACCGCCCCTTTTGGTGATCACTACAGGCAACTGTCAGGTGAAACTCTTGGTACGTCCTTTTGATTAGGAGGGTTTCTTTTTCTGTTAAGAATCCCTCTACTCCTATCTTCATTGTATCAACTACCTCATCTGGTATCTGATGCCCTTCCGTTGCCTGCCTCTCTCGGATCACTTGGAGAACTTCTTCCTCTTTTTCCATGGCCTTTTCCTTGGATGTCTCTAGCAAGATCGAGACCGGCTTTGCTTTCTTCCCTACTGGTTTGTACTTTCAAACACTTCCTTCCGGGATCTTTCTCCTAAAAAATGAACGGTCGGAATAACCCTCTTCACCTCTACGCCTCGCGGCTGAATACTGACTAATTTTCCATTCAGACAGTATCCCTTCTGCACGTCTTCTTCGAACTTGTCCAATGTCACCGGGTCCACCCCTACATTGTGGTATCTGATAGCCTTGATGAGATCGGGAATCTCGAGTGCGACTTCCGGTACGTTCGTACGCACTTCTTTTCGGTTGGGCAGGCTGGCCCCAAGCTCAACTTCTGACTCATTTTCCGCCACCATGACACCTAAGACCTCGTCCTCCTGCCTTCTCTTCTTTTGAGGCAGGCCCATCTTGATCCATTCCTTTTTGTTGAATGCTTCCTCAATCATGATTACTACCCTCTCTCTCATACCTTCCATTCGCACAAAAGCCCCCTTTCGTGCGCTATCCAAGGTTCCTCCTTGTGTCTGTCAGGCAGGTCCAGTCCAAGCCTGTCAGGGCCTCGTCTAGCCGTAAGAGTGTTCCTCGCAAATCGTTCCTCCCGAGTGGTGATTTTCTGGATTCCAGCCTCTTCCTTTCAAGAGAGTTGGGGCTCTCAATCAGTCCGCGAGTGCAGTTACGAAGACCTCGCAATTAGTCCCGAAACGGTTGTAATGTTCCGGCAGGGCAGTGCCAATGCCCCGTGGTGGTGGCGGACTCCACCCGGTACCTCGCCCAGCCTCTCCCCTTGGACAGTGCCGCCCAACTTAGCGCAGGCAGCCATGGTCCGATCCAAACGGCCATGCCACCCCTCTATGATATGGCGTGTGGTTGGAGAGTAGCAAAATAGACTTAGATGAGAATGACTCTCTTGCCCATTTGGCTCTCTTGCCCTTTGACGTTTAGGCGTTCAGCAGGAGGCGCAGTTTGAACTCCCCGACTAGAGCTCATTGTCGGGGGTGGTTCCAGACGGCCGTCACCGATCCAAGTGGTAGGTGCCTTGGTCCTTTGACCCGCATCCCCTTGAAGAGGGACAGGTCGTGCTGAGACTTTTTCCCTCAAGGGATAGAGGTCTTGGGGTCGCGGTGCATGCACCGGTATTCCCCTCTTGCTGAGGCCAAAGACTAGAAGAAAGGAGAAATTCCATTTTCATACCAATTCCATGGTCGGCCCGACGACCTTTCTTCCAAGTTGCCTAGGGTCCCCTGTTTATGCAATGCAACTTCCAATACTCAATCCAATGCCAATGCTCAATCCATGCTCAGTCTCATTCCAATGCTTAATGCAATGTCTCTTCCAAGGTTGAGTCCAATTCCAAGGCTGAGACCAATATCTTTTCCAAGCTCAGCTCTTTCCAATGTCTTTTTCCAGGGCTCAGCTCTTTCCAATCTCTTGCATCTCAGGCAATCATGCAAGGGGACCCTAGTGCCAATTCCAAGTCGGACAGCCCGGTTAGGGCCATCCTTATCCATTGCAATGGACGGTCTGGTTAGGGTCATCCTTGTCCCTTTCAGTTGGCCAGCCTGGTTAGGGTCGTCCTTATCCATTGCAATGTTAGCGCCCGAGGGGGTGGGCCTCGAGGACACGGATCCTATTCTCGTCTCGGGGTCTAAAAAGTGGCAATCCTTTCAAGTTTTGATGCATGGTTCTTCTTCTTTCTTTTATCGTTTGCCATTCTTACATCCATCCATACACCCGACTTAGCGTTTAATGCTCGAGTTGAGGCTCACGATCCCAAGCAGTACTAACTCGCCCGGCCGTTCAACCATTACAAAGAGTGCCAACTTATTTCAATGTTTTCCTCCCACTCTCCTGACTTCTCATATCCTTCCAATACTCTGGACTTGTCTGGGATGGTTGGATTAGGCTCCTAGGGAAGAGGATGTCTCTTTACCCATAGGTCCCCTAACCTCTCACAAGGACTCATGCAACGACTCATTTAATCATGGGTACACAATTCAAAAAAAGCAAGTTTTCGCCATCCATTTTTCTTCCAATCCCCAATAGTTCACATGCCCTTGCCCGCCTTCAGAGTCGATCATTCCCAGTCCCTTTCTTACTACCGAAGAAGGCTCATATTTCAAAAAGGAGCGAGTCGTCGTACAAAGTAGCGCTGGTTACTATTCTTTACTAGCCTTCCCAGTCCAAAGTCGTTACATCACAGTCCTTCTAAAAAAATGAAGAGACAAAGTTTGAATGCAAAGGCAACATTACAGACTCGTCTCAGCAGGATCCCTCTGTTTTCCCCTTGCCTTTTCCTTAGGCAGGACCCAACCATCCAAAGTTCTATTCTAAGTGTCGTGACTCTCATGCACTTTCCTGAAGAAGCAACCACTTGTATAAAGTAGCACTCATTACCCAGTCCTTTAGCCATTTCAAGCTTTGGCAGTTGTTCCATCACAGTCCATTCAAAAAGAAATTCAAATGCGCAACTCAAAAATGGCAGTTCTACCTGCCCAGGTACCAACCCTCCCCAATTTCTAGCTAGCCCCCATTATGCCTACTGTCCCCTTTACTGTCCCGCTGCCCCACATCGAGCCTCCCTTCTTGCTCGATCCTCCATTTCCGGCTGCATTTGTCTCTTTATTCCCTGTAACTGAAGGAGCGTCCCTTCCGAGAAGAAGGTCGTTGGGGATAAGTCCTCTCCCCTACTCAGCTTTTCCCTGCCCTTCATCGCCCATTGGTATCGTAAGATAGCGCCCCATTGATCAAACCAATCGCTGAAGGTGGGTCCGAACTCTGCTATCCATTTGTCCTTTTCTTTCCCTGAATCCTCCTCTCTTCCTCGTTCTTCCCTTGTGGGTATCGTCACCTCATCCTCTTCCTCCTCGCTACTGAGGTCGATGACCTCAATGGGCTCCTTCTCCTCCAACCTTTGCCTTTTCCCCGGGTTCCTCTCCTCCTCACCGTTGGTGTAGCTTTCAGAGGGGAGGACTATCGGCTCCCCTTCTCTCAGTGGCGACGGGTCCCCGGTCCCTTGCTTTTTGCCCCCTCTGTTCACAACCAGATTGTGATCAAACCCCACATACAACTTTCTTTTCCTGGAGCTTGATTCTTCGGCCTGCCTTGTTGGCTGCTGCTCATTGGGCCGGTTGATCACGTTGCTGTCGTTCTCGTTTCCAAACTCCATTTTCTTGTTTTTTTCTTGCCTGGTCTTGTCCATGCATAACAGTCACCGCAACCCCTCGTACACACACACTCCCTCCCATCCCCATTTACAGACTTGTAAGCCTTCCCAGGACCCTTACTTGCCCCTACGTGGTCGGCGACCCCATGATCCCTTAGGCACATTGTTCCCCTCTTAGGCACCCCATATGAGCAGTCCCCAAAATTGCCCCACTAGATTATGGTACATTGTCCCAGGCTTTCATCCTCATTCATACTCAGCTCAGACAGTCACCCCATGTTCCCTCGGAAATAAGACACACAAACGAGCAACCCCTGTGGTCATGATCATTTCCACCAGAGCCATAACCAGTTGTCTGCCTTTCAAGGTGCTAATTCCCCTGTTTCCCCGTCCTGAGCCTCTTGTAACCACTGTTCCACCGGGTCCCTGCTCAAAAACCTGACCAGCCTCGTCTCGGAAATGGCCCCCTTATGCTAGTACCATCCAGATCCTCGAGCTCGAACGTGTTCATCCCCACCCGCTTAGCAATCCTGTAGGGCCCTTTGAACCTCTTTCCCAGCTGCCCAGACCACTTGTTTTTTAGGGCCGAGTTCCTGACTAGCACCTTTTCCCCCACCTGGAATGGTTCCTTCCGAATGTTTTTGACCTGGTCCCACCTTGCTTTGTCCCTCATTCGACTATCCATCACACGGTCAACTAATTCGTCCAGCGCCTCCTCATTTTCGACGACCTGCTGGCAACATGCAGTGATTACCTCTTCTGTAGTCAAGTGCGGGTCGTCGTCTAGTCTGTTCCAGGTAGGGACCAGGACCTCCACCGGAAAGTCAATCTCCCTTCCATACCAGAGTGCCGCTGGAATGCACCCCGTGGTTCTCTTTGGTGTCACGTTCTCAGAAAAGACTGCCTGCCTAAGATACTGCGACCAATTTCCCAAGTCGTCTGCTGCCAACTTTGCGATTGTGTTCTTCAAGGTCCGGTGGCCCCTTTCTACTGGTGCATTTGCCTCAGGATGGTAGGGCTCAATAATCTTGATTGGTACACACAATATCTTAAGCCTGTTCAAGACCTCCTGGTTAACGAAATTTGTCCCATTATCTGCTATAAACCTGCGCACGAAGGGGTGTCTTAGGTAGAAGTCTTCCACCCAATCAGCCACTACTTTCCCTGTCTTCCTCTTGAGAGCTACGGCCTCTACGTAGCCACTGAGATTGTCCCTTGCATCCAAGATGTATCTAAACCCATCCGTTGATAGGGGCATAACCACAAGATCGAGGTGAACAAGGTGCCCGGGTCCCAGTACCCGAGTGGGTCTAAGGGGTTCGTAAACCCGTGTGGAGCTCCTCTCTTGACACATCAGACACGTCTGGGAGTACGTTGCGACCAAGCCTGCCATTCCTGGCCAGAAATACAGGGGCACGATCTTTGCAAGTGTCCCCTTTGACGACCGGTGACCTCCAGCTAGCCCATCATGCATTGCCTGAATTACATCCAACTGCCTAGACTTCCCACAAACGACACGCCTAGGCATCATCCCTTCCTCTTTCTTGAACAGGTGACCATTTCGTAAGACGTACTTCTCAGCTTCCTCCCTTGCCTTGGAGCTGACTTCCATGGGTTGTTTGTTCCCTACAAGTAGCAGACCGATTTCTCTAAAGATGCCCTCATACATCTGTATGAGAAAGAACTCTTGTTCCTTCTGATCCGTATCCTGCTCCTCCCGGGTCTTGTTGACTAGGTACTGACACTCCTTCTGCGCCCAGGTTTCGGCTAACGTCATCACGACGTCCCGTCCCCCTTCCACGGCCATTGCCATCAGTTCCTCTCTGGCCCCTACTTCTGCTCCCCACGAGTCCTTTTCCTCTTTGCGCCGACTGTGGTGACTGGTCCTTCCCTGAGTTCTGCAACTACTGCAGGCGCGCCCTTTTCCAAGGTCTGAATCAGCAATTGACCTGTTGTAAGCGTTGAGTCGGCCATTTCGTTATCCACAACAAGGGCCCCCCCTTCATATTCTAGGAAGGCGTCAATTGGTTCCGCGTCCTCTACTCCCTCTGGCATGATACATACCCTACTCAGCCCATCTGCCCTGTTTCGAAGCCCCGCAATTCGCTTGACCTTATAGTCGAATTGCCATATGAAGCCTATCCATCTGTCGACGGTCGGATCTATAGGCTTGTAATTCTTTAGAGCCCTGACGACGTTGGTGGGATCGATCCTTAGGATAAATCGCCTTCCAAACAGGTATGCCTGGAAGGTCTTAAGGCAATACAGGATCGCTAAGACCTCCTTCTTGAACTGTGAGTACCGTCGTTCTGCCGAATTCAGGGTCCTACTTTCAAATCTGATTGGTCTTTCCTTGCCCTCCTCGCTTTTCTGTATCAATACCCCTCCTACTGCCATTGGTCCGCCATCTGTTTCTAAGATGAAGGGTTGTCCTACTTCGTCATTGAAGCAGGGTGCCGCTAAAGTAACCTGATCGGAAGACAGGATATCTTTGAGGGTCTGGGCTGCCGCTTCCCTATCCTCAGTCCATTCCATAGTACCCCCTTCCCTGATCATTGCGCGGATAGGCTCAGCTATCTTTGCAAATCCTTTGATGAAGATTCTCCAGAATCCGACCACCCCTAGGAAGGCTCGTACTTCCGTTGTGGTGCGCAGGGGTGTTGGCCATTGAGAAATTTTATCCGTCTTTGTTGGGTCAGGTTTCCTTCCATAGGCCCCACAACGAAACCCTAGTATGGTTACTTCCGGGATGACCAGGATGCTTTTGGGTTCGCTTGCAGTAATATTGTAAACTAGGAATCGCTGGAGCAAGTCCTTAATATCCTGCAAGTGGTCCCAAACAAACTTCCGTACGCCCGGTTGGACCTCCGCCTCATCCTTGTACCTTGCGCCTTTTATGGGATTATCATCTATATAAGGTTCACACTTTTTCGGAAACATATCCCCTGCAATGGCGAGCATCCTCCTCTGTGCCTCTGCTACCGCATTTGTGAAGCCTATAGGGGTCACTTGCATCTGCAACTGCCCTACGGAGGTGTGCATTGCGGTATACGCTCTATCCCTCGCATCAAGTGGCAACTGGTCGTATCCTGAGTACAGGTCTATCAGAGAGTAAATGCTCCGCCCGACGTGAGATTCGACAAGCAAGTCCTCCTGTGGGAGCGAGCCTGCATCCCTAATTGTTACCGCATTGAGCTTCTGCAAGTCCTGGATCCACCTGAGCGTCTTGTTGGGCTTCCGGAAAACGAACCATTTGTTCGCATAAGGGGATCCGGTGGGCTCAACCACGAACGAATCTATCTTGGCCCTGAGCAGGTCAGTGACTTCCGATGTTATCCCAAACTCGTAGGCAGGCCCTTTATCATTCCAGCATTCATGCTGTACCGTGTGGATCCTAACCGGAGGAACTAGCTTTGCGTCAAACCGCCCTTTCTGGTGATAATTGAAAGCGAAAGCTAAATGGAACTCCTGACACGCCTTCCTTATCAACTGAGTTTCCTCCGCTGTTAGAAACCCTTCCACTCCTATTTTCATGGTATCTGCTACCTCATCTGGTATGTGATGCCCTTCCATTGTCGGCCTCTCCCTTATAACCCGTAGGATCTCTTCTTCTTTTTCCATGACCTCTTCCCTTGATGTTTCTACTAGGATCGAGACCGGCTTGGCCTTCTTCCCTACGGGTTTGTACTTTTGCACACTCCCTTCTGGGATCGTTCTCCTAAAAATGAACGGTCGGGATTGGCCTTGCCACCTCCATGGCACGGGGTTGAAGACTGACAACCTTCCCATTGAGGTAGTAGCCTTTCTGGATTTCTTCTTCAAATCTTGCAAGTGTTGTCGGATCTACCCCAACTTTATGGTACCTAATAGCTTTGATGAGCTGCAGCAAGTCAGGGATTTCGAGTACTACTTTTGTCATTTCCTTCCGTCCCTCCTTTGGCTTGGGCAGGCTGGCCCCAAGTTCAATCTCCGACTCCTTTTCTGCGAGCATGACTCCTAGGACCTCGTCCTCCTTTCTCCTTTTCTTTAGAGGCAGACCCATTTTGATCCGTTCCTTTTTGCTAAACACTTCCTCAATTATAATTTCTACCCTTTCCCCCATGCCTTCCATCCGTGCGAATGCGCCTTTTCGTGCACTTTCTTCAAACGTCGGCGACCAAGTTGCCAGCTTACCCTTGGGGGGGTCCCCTCCAGTTCCGAGGAGTCGGAGGAGTTCTCCGCGATCAGTCACTGGATCCTCTATGTCTGCCATATACGTGCCATCATGCAGGTGCATGCCAATCATTTCTACATTGGCGCACCATGGTCTCCCAAGGATTATGTCATGGTCCATTTCTTCCATGACGGTCATCCGTTGGAAAGACCAGATGGATTCCCGAATTCCTGCCTTGACCGCGCATTTGGTGACATAACCAGTGAAGGGAATTTCTCCGCCCGCTCCCCTGATACTCCCTGCTACCTCCTTGTTCACTGTGCACCCCGTGATTGTTGCGAAATCCCGTCATATGAGGGTAATTTATGCGCCGCCATCCACTAATGCATCGGTGTGGTGAGTTCCGACCTGGACTTTAAGTTTTCCTACAGACAGTGCGTGGAAGCTAAGTTTAGTGCCAGGCGGTGCTCTCATGACTTCGCCACCTTCTCGGTCCGGCAGATTCAGACGAATATCGGCAAAGGCTTTTTCCAAGTCTTCCAGGCCCCCTGGAATGCTTTGGAGGTTAGAGACTCCTTGTGGCGCCTCGGCCTCCTCGGGTCCTTGTTCTTGTGGTTCCGGAGCCTCCTCTACTTCTACACGTTTACGCGTCAATAGCTGCCTGAGGCCCTTGAGCAGTCTCAGGTTTGCCTGCAGCATGGTCTGGAAGGATACCGACACCATGGTGCCCAGGAGTTTGCTCAGAGTGTCATCTAATTCGGGTAGCGTCAGAATCGGGATCTGGTACCCTAACTTCTTCTTTGCCGCCGTGGCTTTATCTACCGGTTCCTCTTCCCTCGTGTTTCCATAAACCTTCTCCTGTTCCTCGGCCTCAGCTTCCTCCTAATCTGCTCTAGCCCCCACGGCTTCTTCCACTACTGTGTCTCGGATGAGCTTCTTTTCCGCGCCAGCCCGTCGGGTAGTAATATTTACCTTATCCTGCCCATTACCTTCCAGGATGAAGTTGACATGGGGCCCCCGCCCCCTTGGTTGGTCCCAGACAAGCTCAGCTACCGGCTCTGCTTCTACGGCAGCTGTATCCAAGTTATTCAGGAGGATGACGGCACGCCGCATTCCTCCTGGCGAATTCCAGTTTACTCACTCTCCCTGAGGCGTTAGAATCTCACCTTTGAGGGACTTACTGCACCTCTGTCTAATGATGTCGTGGTTAAGTCTCGGATAGGTCCTCATGAAATGCCCGACCATTGTACAATATTTGCATTGTTCATTGGCCGGGTCCCTTTTGGGGAAACCTCGATTGGCTACTGCTGTCGGTATTACGGCTTCTTGGGGCAGGAGGGCGGGTTGGAACACCTGTGCCTGCATTACTAATAGCGCATTTTCCATTCTGTCCATCTTGCTGTCAACCCCGTGCACTCTTTCATGAAGGCTCTCTATTTCCTTTTTGACCTTATCCCCCGTCTTCCCGGTCAGGTCTATAACCTCCCCTTCCTTAAGCAGGGCCAGGGTCTCAATTACCACTGTCTTCTCTGCAAGATCTGTTACCGTACTGAAATCCACATCCCTTGTGTATTCAAACTTGCTGGTCTGCTGGTATGCTGACAAAATCTTATCCTTATCAAACTCGGAGAACTGCCTGAGAAAGTATTTACTCATTATGCGGTCCTTTACCCCGGGAATTCGCAGAGCCACTAATGTAAACGCCCTTAGGAAATCATTGGAAGTCGCATAGTTTTTCCTCTGGACTACTGCTAATTCGGCCTCTGTTGCCATTTTCTCTGCCTTCAGGTATGTCCTGATCATCTCGTTCCTGGTTTCTTTCCAGGATCCACTGGAAGGGACGATGGCCATAATGTCCCTTCCCAAGCTTAGCAACACGTGTTGCCCTAGGTGATCCATCGTTTCCTCTTCCGTCCATTTCAGTAAGGCTGCTAGGTCTCCGTAATGTTTGCCCCATCGAATGTGAGTTTCTTCTTTGCATCTGCGAGATACCCCTGGTTCTTGTTTAGTGCCCGGGTGAGGGTGGCGACTATCCTCTTGAGACCACCTTCGGAGCTACCCGCTTCTCCAATAGCACTAGTCCCTTCCCCTTCCTTGCTTCCCCTCTGCTTCTCCAACAACACTAGTCCCTTCCCCTTCCTTGCTTTCCCTCTGCTTCTCCCTGGTTTTCGGCGTTCCTTTATTTTCGGCGTGGCGGGCAGTCGGCTAGTGTCGCTGTCAATGGCGGGCGGGGTCATAGCGTTTTTCGTCCCTCCCGCCGGGGGGTCGTCCTTGTCCTTCCCCTTCTTGTTAGGCGTTCCCTTGTGACTATTATCCTTCCCTCCATACCTGGCCTCGTCCTGACTGATCCTGCGTCCCTCACGTGACCCTGCGCCCTGGGGGTCCTCCTCATCCCCGACCATCATCTGCTCGATAAGCCTTGCCTTAAATTTTGCAGTCCGCTTTTCTATCTCTGTCAGTTTACGACGGGCATCCGAGACTTTCGTCTTTTTAGGGGTGGTTCCTGCTGAGTTTCGAGGACTTGTTCTCATATTGTTTCCCCTTTCCTTGTTTTCCTGAGGTCCCCTTTTGCTACCCCCAGCTTTCCCCGAGCTTTCTCCAGTTGAGAGGTCCTTCCCGTCTTCTCGGGTTCCTTCCGGTTTGGCTGACTTTCGATCCCTCGCTGATCCCTCGTTTCGTTCCCCAACCCCATTCGTGCCCTGATTCCCTCCGCTCTGGTGGTCATCGATCCCTTCTTCCGTCGCCATTCCTTTACCTAAGGTCTTCCCCCGAATACAGCGTACGGTCATTATAGCTGAATTTAGACCSAAAGATACACCAAATTCAGCTATAATGACCGTACGTTGTATTCGGGGGAGGACTGTAGCCTGCACATGGAAATTTTTTTTGCGAAAATTGGCCGGTTGTTCATAACTCCCCTAGTTCCGGCCCTAGAGTCCGCCTATTCCCATGCTTCTTGTGCCTTACATTACTCGGTACGACTCTCCTGACTTTTTCTTTCCCAGGGCGTCCTTCAAGTTTTCTTCTGTCAGGGGACTTGCCACCGTTGTTCGGAATTTTATTACTGCCGCGCTTTAGCTCTTAGGGCGGTGTTTGAGCCCAGTGGCTTCCTTATCGAGGATGGCCCTTTTGGCTTTTCGACCTCCAAATGCCCCAGAGTTTGGTGCGGGTGGTCTTCCTAGTTCCTCCTTGCCGCACTATCGGGTCGGACGGAACTCCAACCACTGCCCCCCCCCTTTTTTGCTGATGGATGCCTTCTCATCTTAGTACCCATCCCTTATTTCCCTATCTTTCCCCAACGCGTTTTCTCATGCTGGTCCCTCAGGCCTGCCTTGCTCATCTGGTTCCTCGAACAGGTCAGCCACCCCAGCAAGATAGTTTTCTCCCATCTCTATTTCCCTGACGATTATCGGTTCATATTCCTCAAAAGCCAGGCGAGGCAAATCGAATATCAAAATTTCAATGAGGTCAAGCAGTTCCCRGGCCTGATTCYCCCAGAACGGCCYATGCTTGACCGATACGTYGTAAAACATTCCCGTCGTTTGTGGCCGGAAGTGGTGGATCCAGACTAGAGTCGAATCCACCAGGTCCCTGGCTCTCTTGAGGCTACCAAATACCAGATCCACCATGAAGCGGGGAACTCGGCACCTCAGCCCTGTCATTGGGGCCTTGAACTCCCGCCAACCCCCTACCTCCACCCGGGTTCTCAATCCCACGTTTCTTCTCCCCCGCACTTCCTGGCCTACCCGCTTGAGTGTCCTAGTAGCCCTCTGGAAGATTGGTAACAACCCGTGTCCCAGTGCCAATTCCGTTCCCAACATGTACCACCCCAGTTCCGACAGGTATACGGTCTCTGTCACCCTAAGGTCAGTGTACAGATCGTCCCTTGGTCCCCTATTAATCCTCATACCATCCCACAAACATTCCACCATCATGAATGCCTGATCCCTTCCCAAGGTCACGGCCCTCCATTCGGTATCCAGTCCTCGGACCATATAGCTTGCTGGGAGCGATACCTCCCATCCACCTTCACTTTCCGTGGGTGGCCGCGGGTACGTGGGCCGTCGTGACATCCGGGCGCGTCTCGTCGCCATTTTTGGCTTAATGGTCCCCTACACAGTTTAAACAGCAAACCAATTTACTTATTTCATTTAATCTTCAGCTCCCGCCCGAATATTCCCGGGTCTTTAGCTTGAAGCTTCTTTTCCTCTCTATTCCCTTTCCTTTCCTCAACCCTTTTACTGGCCCGTTCCTACTTCCATCGGCTCATACAATCGGCACAGATCATCCACGTACGCCATCCCTCGACTTATGAACGTCGAACGACACCCCACAGGACTTCACTACTAATGACCGGAGCCCTTGGCCTAGTACTAAACACAGCGCGCAGGATGCGGAGCACCTCATACCTCTGTTCACCGCTAAACGGCCCTATTTCTAGGAAGGCCCGATAATATTCTCGATGTACCATTGCATCTTCATACGTCAGATTTGCGAGGTCGGCTACCGCTCGTCTAACAAGTTCCAGATCGCCCAATCTCTCCAACAGGAAGGGCGACAACCTCATTCGTACATTCGCACTAGGCAATTCAAAACTCTCGACCGTGGTTACCCTAAGGTCCGCTGTTACATCGTCACCTCCTGGATCTGCGAACTCGAATCCCGCTCGCCACACTAACTGCCATGCCCCTTCGAACATACTCAGTGGGTCTTCTCCTGATGCCAACCGGACTCCGAACTCCCGCCACCCGTCCTCTAATACATACAGCCGCCCTTCCGCCCGCAAATGTCCTCGGGGGTCCGGGTTCCATTCCCCATTCTCATCCGCACGCTATTCAACCCTCGTCACTAGGTAAACCATGTTTTCCACAAGTTCAACCCCGACCCAATCCACCACCGGGTGCCATCCCTCATTTGCGGTGGGCAAGCTAATTTCTATCCTACCATCCACATCCCTAGGCGGCTCAATGCCCAGCGGGCGGTCCTCAAGGAACGTCCTTCTTCGCGCCATCTGCGCTCTTGTCCTTGGTCTTCTCTCTCACAATCCACACAGAGTCCTACAATGGCCAGACATCCCAATCCCTTATCTTAGCAATTTCCTCATGCCTGCCTGGCCCCACGATTTTATTGCTATTTTTAGTCGAACCACAGCACCTCAAATAGTTTGAACACATCATCCACATAGCACGGTGTCGCTTCTACTTCCCGGCCGATTATGGCGTCCCTAATTTCCGTGGCTACTTCCAGTCGGTCGTTCCTCTCGATGTCCAAAATGGTAAGGACCTCCCGGGCTCTGTCGCCATGGAAACGTCCGAGTTTCAGGGACGTTTTATAGAATTCTTCTGCCAACCATGCACAGTTTACGTGTATCCGCTCCATACTGCCGGCTACTTCCGCAACGTGATCAAAGCCCCCAAACCAGTCTGCCACAAATTCCGGCACCCAGGTCTTGGTCCGGGCACAGGGCGGTTTAAATTCCTTCCATCCTCCCATCACGACTCTACTACTGACCTCATCCCAGCCTTTGTTGGCGAACCTTGCTCCTGCCTTTCGAGTCCTTGCCTCGGCACCCTCTAAAAGCCACATCGGATTTTGTCCCGCAGCAAGTGTGGTGCAGAACATATGCCACCCCTGCTCTGACAAGACGACCGTCCCAACGGACTCTACTCTCCCTTCTGCGATATCGTCCCATCCTTCCTCTTCCCTCAACGCGTTCCAGACACGTTCTATCCATAGGTATGATAGCTCTGGCACGATCTCATACCCCCGCCAGTCACACGTGGTCCCCTTCCATTCATTACCCATCGGTATAGACATTTTCACCCCACCTCTGGTTCGCCTTGGTTCCCATGTGCAGTCCCATAGCAGAAATTTCCGGGCCATCGCTCCCTACCTGCACATAGTCGACAGCCCGTCCCTGGGTAAGTCCCCGCCCCCCTTTTCAGAAGTCCCAGTCCTCTACTTCGTCCTCATCCTCACTATCACTGAAATTCTCCTTCTGAGAACAGCTCCTTTAGTCCCTCTAAGAAGGTTTCCCCTGCCGCCACATTCCGATAGATTATCTGCCAATGCACGGGGCTAGAGACAAATATTTCATCCGCGCTGAGGAGGTTAAGTACCTCAGCTGGTTCATCCGCGGCCCCACTTCCGATAGTCTAAAGAAATCCTGCCGAGCACACTGGTACAGTGTCAAGCGCGTCATCGACTGGCATATCCGCTCCAGTCTATCCCTGGTCCCAAAGACCGCATCCACCAAGAACGGAGGTAACACACACCTCACTGTCCTAAGGGGCCGTCTCATATCCCCCCTGTCCCCGAGCTCCACTCGCACATCTATCTTGTCCATTTCCATTTTACCCCGCTGACATGCCGTCCATACCACCTCCCGTTCTGCCTGCCTACACAGCTAGGTCGGTGCCATGCCCAATACCAACCCTATTACCACTTCATTTTCCAGATCCTGGGATAGGTAGACCCACCCTCGGGCTTCCACCGTCCCTCGGAATTCGAAATCCATCAAACTCGGTGAGAGTCTCATCAGGCTGACCTCCGTCCAAATCGTCTCTATCCAGAGGAACGCGTCCTTTTCGTCCAGCATCACAGTTTCATAGGCTGGTTCCAGGTCTGTCCACGTCCCTTCCTCCGGGAAAACAACAGATACCCCTTCCCTTACGTCTATTGGTACTTCCGGACCGCTAGAATAGACAGGGGGTGACAATTATCGCGCCATCTTGTTTGTCGGCTCCCGTCCTGTTTTTCACAAGAGAGCACCACATGGCCCCCTCTTGATCAGATTGTCTCCTTTTCCTAGATGAGAATTGCTTTCAGACTCCTCATCCGGGCCTTCCTAACCTTTTCCTACCCACTTCCCGGGCGCCATTGCCCTACCATACCCCCAATCGATCACCAGTGGCTCGCATTCCTTTTTCTTGGTTCCATTTTCTTCCGACCCCTATCCAGCCTTTTCCTGATGTTCTCTCACTCGTGCAGACTTAGGCGCGGGTTGAGAATAGACTAGAAGCTTAGTTCCCATCCCAACATTCATCAGGCAGCTTCACAGAGGGAGACACAAAAGGAGAAAATCAAGCAATCTTCGCACACAGGCCGGTCATCTCCTCACCGGCCTTTTTCCCGGAAATGGTCTCTTCACTGTTACTATCGGCAGAGTTTTATCCCATACCTCAAGCACAGCTCAACCGTCGCGAGCGCGGTACCCAGACTCCAGTGGGGGGTCGCCCTCACCTTCTTGCCCAAAATATCCCATCCCGACTTGCCGCTCGTGTACCCACCCTTAATCTCGGGAATCACCCCGCACATCTCAGTAGGGCCATTGGAGCCAGCCGTCCAGGCATTCACTTCCATCGGTCGGACAAGGAACAACATTTCCCAAACCAAACTACGAGAAGCTACTAATCGCCTACGAGGCTCCGTCTTTGCTCGCATGCCGCGGTACTCCCTCCGCCAGTCCACAGGCTAGGCCCCGCCTAAAGAAACGTTTCACACCCCGCCCAGCAGATCAATCGAGCCGAAGCCCGTCACCGCGCGGACGAGGATGCTACTAAGCACCCGGCGTGACAAACTCCCGTTAGACAGCTCGGTGGCCTGACCCCCGCATATGAACAAACGGCAGCCTGCAAAAAGAGAACGACGTTTGGCAACCCGCAGTGGCCGGTGCAGACCCTTCATTTCCTTCCAAATGGCAGGACGCTCGAATCCCCGTCATGCATTCACAAGTCCCAAGTGGGACACACATAAAACAAGTGCCTTTCCCGTGGTGCTCCCAGCGCTTCCTACCCAAGCTCGCAAATTTTCTCTCAGGACAGTGCGTGCCACTCGCCCCTAACTTCCATGCATAGTGCCCGGTTCCTTTTCGTGAGCATCTTCAAAGGTGAGCTAGTTTTCCCTTGGAGTCTAGCAGCTTCCTTCATTCCCCTTATCTTCACTTCATGTGTCCGTTCATAGGGCAGGATTGTTCCTTCTCGATTACCTTTTGTGTACATATGATGTTCCTTCAAACATTTAAGTGCGGTGCACGGAGCCCTCTGGGCTCCAAAAGAAGAGGAGAAAGCACCCGTGTTGGTCGGATCGCTCCGCCGCGGGATTTTCATTGGAACCCGGACTGGCCCGGAATCCGAACCGCCTGCCAGGTAACCGGAGCCCTTCTTTCACACGAAGAGGAAGGGTCGACCTGCGGCTTGCCCAAGACTTCCCCGGTCTGACGATCATCATCCCGAGAGAAGGAGAACTAGAGTCACCTCCAAGGGAGATGGCTGATTGTGTGTGCAGCATGCATGTTATACCTCCAGGCCTGGCCTTGCCATGCGCCCAGCCGCCCTCAAATTTGCTTCACTTAAAGGAATAGAGCATACACAAGTCCATATTCCTTATCTTCAGTTATGTACATGGTCATGCGTCGGGCGCCCCCCTCGAGATCGTCAGGGTCGGTTTAACCCATACCCGGCACCTCCACCATTTTTGTACGGGCCATACCCTGAAGGACTTTCGAGCCTGAGTCGACCCCACGGCGGGTCCCATTTGGCTCGACCCGGCCACGCTCACGCTCACGCTCACGCTCAGGGCGCGGGTCGTTCGTCCCAGGGGCATCCCCACCTAGTGCTTTGAGATGGATGGGAATGGGCCTTTTGCGAGAGGGCTTTACATTGGGGGATGTAGCTCCGCTCTCGCGTCAAGATGGTAGCTCTTTGGTCACTCGTGGCGTTTTCTTGATTCGATGAGGTCTAACCAAGCAATTGCTCCTTCCAATACACAAGCAGTCCAAGGAGTTCGTTGAGGATTCGTCTTCTTGCCGTGCGCAGGCCAAGCGTCATCCATTGGGCCACGCACCTTTTCACTAAGTCTAGTGGCTCAAGACGGCCCCTACGACATCCTCGGGGTGGGGTGGTTTCGCCGGGACCCCTAGCTGCTATATTGTTTTTCGCTCGAGCCACTAGCATTGCATGCACCTATCCAAGACTGCCCTTAGTCCTTCCGGGCTTGAATTGTATTCAAAAGAGCCATTGCATTCAATCATCACACAAGCCACATCCAGGCATCTACCATCCATCCAAGCGTCCGACCGTCAAACCCATCCTGCATTCATAGTTTTATGCGAGGTCTAAGTCCTTCCCTTATCCAGTTTTTCCGGTGGATCCAATCCCGCTCAACACCCATCCCAAGCTACTCACCTGCACAACACCACACGAAGCATGGACCAAATACAATCCCCATTGGGGTCAACACACCGCCCCTTCCCACAATCCTAAGCTTCCTTTGCCCTTCGATGATCCTTTGGTTGTCTTTCCCTTTCCTCAGGCAAACCATGCCTTTGTCTTAGTCATGCAGTCGGGGAGGATGGTTGAGTCAAACTGACCTCGCCACAAAAACAACACTCCTTTCCGCTTTCACAAATGTTCTCAGTAGCCTCGTATCCTATCCTTCTTGGTGGCACAAGGGACCAACAACCCTTCCCTTGCCCTCGCTTTCCACCAAGTGAGGACCAAGTTCTTTTCCGTTCGTTCCCTGACAATGTAACAGGTGAGGGTAGAGGTTAGTCACATGCCATGGAGGGGAAGGGGTGCGGGAAGAGTTAAGGGTTAAAGAGTTTGAAGGTATGGAGGAAGACAGAGGGAGAGGGAGAGGGTAAGAGAGAGAGAGAGAGAACAAGAAGCTTCACATCCTAACCGACCTTGCTCATTGACTTACCTTAACCGATCCTACCCGAGGTCACGTGCGCCCCCATTGCGACCCCCTAAGACTTTCGAGAGGCTGAGGGAGGTGGTCGACGGGGACAGCGAGAGGAGCCGACTATGCGAATAGTAGAGGCGGAAGAAGGTGTGGGGCGGTGGTTATGGTGGATGGGTGTAGGTGATGGAGGTGGAAGATGGGTTGGGGTGGTTGGCTATGGTGTATGGGTGTGGGTGATGGAGGAAGAAGAAGGGTTGAGACGGTTGGCTATGGAGGATGGGTGTAGGTGATGGAGGAAGAGGAAGGGTTGAGGTGGCTGGCTATGGTGGATGGGTGTAGGTAATGGAGGTGAAAGAAGGGTTGGGGTGATCGGCTATGGTGGATGGGTGTAGGTGATGGCGTTGGAAGATGGGTTGGGGTGGTCGGCTATGGAGGACGGGTGTAGGTGATGGAGGAAGAGGAAGGGTTGAGGTGGCTGGCTATGGTGGATGGGTGTAGGTGATGGACGTGAAAGAAGGGTTGGGGTGATCGGCTATGGTGGACGGGTGTAGGTGATGGAGGTGGAAGAAGGGTTGGGGTGATCGGCTATGGTGGACGGGTGTAGGTGATGTAGGTGGAAGAAGGGTTGAGGTGATCGGCTATGGTGGACGGGTGTAGGTGATGGAGGTGGAAGCCGGGTTGGGGGGGGTTTGGTTATGGCGGATGGGTGTAGGTGATGGAGGTGGAAAAAGGGTTGGGGTGATCGGCTATGGTGGGTGGGTGTAGGTGACGGAGGTGGAAGAAGGGTTGAGGTGATCGGCTATGGTGGATGGGTGTAGGTGACGGAGGTGGAAGAAGGGTCGAGGTAATCGGCTATGGTGGACGGGTGTAGGTAATGGAGGTGGAAGATGGGTTGGGGGGTTGACTATGGCGGATGGGTGTAGGTGATGGAGGTGGAAGAAGGGTTGGGGTGATCGGCTATGGTGGACGGGTGTAGGTGATAGCGGTGGAAGGAGGGTTGGGGTGGTCGGCTATGGCGGGTGGGTGTAGGTGATGGAGGTGGAAGAAGGGTTCGGATGGTCGGCTATGGTGGATGGGTGTAGGTGATGGTGGTGGAAGAAGGGTTGGGGTGATCGGCTATGGTGGACGGGTGTAGGTGATGGAGGTGGAAGATGGGTTGGGGTGGTCGGCTATGGTGGGTGGGTGTAGGTGATGGAGG